TCTGGGCCTGAATCTGGCCCTGGTCCTAAAACGTGTACCTGGCCACAAAACGGACAACAGTACAACCGTTAGAAAAACAGCAGCAATAAATAAATAAAAGAATATAAAATAATCTAAAGCTGGCGTTTTTCTGATGCAGGCCCAAGTAAAAATGCCATAGGGCCTTCAGGTTGCGGTGACGCGACCTGGGGGCCCTATTCCAACCTCGGGTCCCATGAGGGGCCCGTGTGTAGGCTTTCAGCATGTAACAGTAGAGCACGAAAGTGGCATTCGGGAGGTTGTGTGTTCGATTCCCCACAGTCCCCAACTTGAGTCCCCACACCTCCTGAGGCACGCTGCGCGTTCACCAGCTGAGACAGCCAGCTTGTCCCTCCTGGTTGGTTGGTGGAGATTGCCACCCGTTGCCAAGGGTTAGGTTCAACCCTGAGGGAATATAGGCTCAACCCGTAACCCTTAGTGTAGCTTGCCGTTGGAGGGTAGACTCAAGGTGTGTTTCATTCCTAGTTAGGTAGGTAGCAGGACGTACATTGAGAGAAGAATACAGCTTAGCTTTTTTTTAATAGAAACAAAAAAAAATGAAAAGTTGTCATCTTCCAAAAGATAGACATGCTAATTAGGAAGAAAAGCAAAGATAGGGTAATTAGGAAGAAAAAGGAAAGTCTCCATTCCCATATAGATTACCTCGTAACTTCAACCAAAGGACGACAAGAAAAACAACCACCACAATGGCAGCAATGACCAGCTGTACAAACGAGACCTTAAACATAACATGCATTGAGCATAGTGAATTGCAGACACAGACTCTGGCAGAGGACATTCCTCCTTTCCTTTTTCTCCTCCTCCTCCTCCTTTCCTTTTTCTTCTCCTCCTCCTCCTTTCCTTTTTCTCCTCCTCCTCCTCCTTTCCTTTTTCTCCTAATCTTCTTCTTTTTCTTCCTCTTCTTCTTCTTCGTCTTCTTCTTCTTTGTGATGCTTGTCATCGCCATTTCCACACTGTCGCCACTTTGCTGACAATTTCCCACATGAAAGACCTCCGCGGATCTTATCCGGAGGAAGGCTCTTGTTCGTCTCCGGAATCTGACTGACCCTCTTCGCTGCCTGTAAGGGTTGCACTCAAAAGCGAAGATCTGAGAGATGACGGATCTCATCTCACAGAACACAAGAGTGAACCACTATGAATCCCCAAAAACGCATTCTCAGGCGATTTGTGCATTGCCACCATGATTTCCCGATCAATTGGCTTCTTTGTGCTCAGAAACAACCAGTTTCAGGATGACAACAAACAAGGCGGCGACATTCTTCTTTGTGATGCTTGTCATCACCATTTCCACACTGTCGCCACTTTGATGACAATTTCCCACATGAAAGACCTCCGCGGATCTTATCCGGAGGAAGGCTCTTGTTTGTCTGCGGAATCTGACTGACCCTCTTCGCTGCCTGTAAGGGTTGCACTCAGAAGCGAAGATCTGAGAGATGACGGATCTCATCTCACAGAACACAAGAATGAACCACTATGAATCCCAAAAAATGCATTCTCAGGCGATTTATGCATTGCCACCATGATTTCCCGATCCATTGGCTTCTTTGTGCTCAGAAATTTGTGCTCAGAAACAACCAGTTTCAGGATGACAACAAACAAGGCGGCGACAAATTCCGAGTAACATCCAAAATATCTTGTGACGGCAGGAAGACCCAGTCCCGGCTGTGAACAATTGCAACTGCCTGATCAGCGATCACAAGATGGGCACAAATAAAAAATAAAAAGACGGGGCAGATCAAAACCAGAAGCACCGTGCTGGTTGTTTGGCTGGCTACCGTGTCCCAACTGTCGATCAAACCGGCAGTAAACCGAGCAGCTGCTCCTATGGTTCCTGCAGTAATACTGCTAGATCAGCGCTAACCAGCCAGTCAGAAAGACAGTCACGGCCAATGTGAAAACCGCCATGCCAATGTGAAAACAGTCACGGCCAACGTGATGACAACCGGGGAAAAAAAGAAACGAGAGCCTAACAAAAACCTCATGGGGAATGGGTTTCCGCAACTTTTCAGAGCTGCAGGAAACAGGCGGAGATGCCTGGCGGAAGGGTGTGGGACATCACAATATAACTTGTCTACACTCGCAAACCATACTTGCCAGCGTCAATGACAATATGCCGTCTTCGCCCATCTGGATGCGCATATCGAATCAGCAAGCTTGTGTTTCGCCTCCTGTTCTTGTTGCCTGGCTGGACTGCAGCCCAGCAAACCTTCACATGGTTCACATGAGGGACCAGATGGTATACATGAGCAGCCAAATGGAACACATGAGGGACCAGATGCAACACCCCACAACCACAGAAAACAACACAGTTTCACACGAGCAGCAAACAAAATGCATGAGATGCCTTTTCATCAAATGCTATCAATTGGTACATCCATTTCACTTCCTGTCCTCTGAAGTCAACAACTAATAGCAGTTTATGCATGCTCTCTCTCTCTCTCTCTCTCTCTCTCTCTCTCTCTCTCTCTCTCTCTCTCTCTCTCTCTCTCTCTCTCTCGGCCATGAATAAACGTTTCTTTCAGACTTCGAGAAGTTGAAAAAAAAAAAAAAAAAAGCTTGTTCGGTTTTTGGAGGCCTTGGCCGCCGCTCCACTACTCTGGAAATGTGCAAAACGAGAGTGAATCTTCTGCTAGAACATGGAAAGATACAGCACAATGATTTTCAGCTTTTGTGCATTTCGAGAGTAGTGGAGCGAGGCCCCTTGTGGGAATTTTTATTCCCAGGGTTTGTTAAATGTCAGGACAGTGGTTGCGTTTTGGCCATTTCTGTCGCTGGGCGTAGACCAACGCCTGCGCCTAAGCTGGGTAATGGTCCCAGCACGTTACATTCTCCAGGTTGTCTGTCGAGGGATCCCCGGACTCCAATTCTTTTTCAGTTCTAATGAAGGCTCGGATCCCACAGTGCATTTTGAAGAAAAAGTCGGAAAAGTACCCTGAAAGTCGTGTCCGCGCCAACCGGTTCATAAGAATGAATTTGGATCCCATAGGCCCGATGGGGAAGGCACTTCTCCACAATTTTTGCCGACATGCACTCCGTTCCAACGCCATCTACGGACATCCAACGACCAACGACCACAAACCGACAACAGAAAAAAGGGAAAACCCAATTTTGCAGAGGCACCTACTTTCAGGGGGAGGGGGGAGGGGTCATAAGCTTTTTGCAATTCGTTCATGAAACCAGCCACGACTCTCTCCCGTGCTGCCACAAAGGAGGCCCAGAGAAGAAACAGCCGAATTATTTGCCCTGTCCGCTCACCGCGGAAACGTGTGGGATTTCTTTTTTTTTCACGAAAGTACCCCTACTAAAGATTGTCGGATCCAAGCCGAAGGTGGTTGGTTCTGAAAAGAAAAAAAAAAAAAAAAAAAAAAAAAACTTGTTTGGAATGATGCAATTTTACATAACATTTTCTTTTCCCTGCGGATTTCGTTACATTATTTTTCTTTTGTCCTTTTCTTCACACTGCGAATGCCTCGGACCCTGCCAGGCCCTTGCCCAGATGGGTACCCGTGCAACCCCCTCATTTCAAATGTTTGCGATCAAACATATAGAAAATTATTTGATTCTTTTTCTTTTTCCGTACCTTATCTGTCAAGGAAAATTTTGCACGTCTCCAGATTGTCAGACAAAGGATCTCATTAGACACTCCCCGGAAACTGATTTTTTATTGCGTCCTTGAAATGAGACCCTTTGTCTGGCTCCTTATGTACTCATATGGGACGCTCGACCTGGTTTCCATTAGGTGCCGCTCCGCACCAATAGATGGAGCACCCGCAAGAGGAGGGTAGATACTGCTTGGGATTGCTCTTACCAACCTCAATACCCCCTGCGGGGGTGTTCACTTTAATAAATTTTAAAAAAAATCTGGAGACTCCATGGCGTCATTTCATTTTGTGTGTCCTTGAAATGGAATCGTTGAAATGCGTCCTTCAGTTTCAAGGATAACACAGACATTTTGTCCAGTTTTTCAAAGAACCTCGCCTCTTCCTTGCTCCCCCCCCCCCCCAAAAAAAAAAAAAAAAAAAAAAACTCGCCAGTTGAAATCCAAGGACCTACCGCTTCGAAGAGGAGAGGGCATCCTCCGAGTTTGGTGGTTTGCGGTGGCGCCCTATCGGCTGAAACCCTGAAGCACCCTTTTCTTTTTTCTTTTTTTTTTGCAAAAGAAAACTTTCTCAAGGGTTCATCCTTCAAACGGCTTTTCACGGAGACATGGAAAGATGATGGGAAAAAAAATTCAAAAAATTCCTTGCAATCACAATTTTTTTCGAGGACTCGGCTATCGAATTCGAACCATGGACAGACGATGGGGAAAAAAAATCAAAAAATTCCTTGCAATCACAATTTTTTTCAAGGACTCGGCCATTGAATTTGAACCATCTTCGACAAGTGTCTAAGGAGATCCAAACATTCAATACCTGACAAGCTGCTCTCTGTGCTGCTGTGCACCAAATTTACACGCATTTGGACATCGTGGTGGATTTCTAAGGGGTAGGCCCAATCGAACCACAAAGGAAAAGAAAAAGACAAACAAACCCAAAAAAAAAGAGGATCTAAATTTCTAAAATTTATAAATCCTTGCTCTTGGGTTATCTATGTACTCGGCTTACCAAACCCGACCCCAACATCAAACACCATCTAGTGGATCTGCTTGGCATCATTATATGCGAAAGAAGTAGGAACCGAGTCCAAGGCAGGTCGTTGTGACTGTGTTACTTAGCGCACCACCAATCAACCAAGCCACTGACGACCGAAGAAATAGAACGAGTAGGAACCTACAAGGCGCTTGAGCTCAGAGAGCTGCCGAGAAGAGTCATGGATGCCATGGAGGTCCCGCCAGGTCCTGCCAGGTCCCACCAGGTTCTGCCAGATCCCACCAGGTCCAAGTGTTCTCATGAGGGATCGACAAAGCTTGTCATTGCTGCAGCATGACATTAAGGAGGAGGAATGCAAAGTGGCAGGACCCGGCGGACACCAGGTGCGCATCTATATTCACATGGAATTTTTCAAAGGGAACATGCAATAGGTTGCCAGGCGTCAGAACCAAAGGCACAGAATCCCTCTGACAGGCAAGAGAAGTCAAAGTCAAAGATGACCCTAGACAGACCACCACCACATATTGGGCTACCGGGCTACCCATCAGAAGTCAAAGTCAGAACTGTCCTTAAACCACAATCCCCAGTGGAAGAGCGGGACCCGGCCAACGCCAGGTGCGCAGCTATATTGACATGGAATTTTTCAAAGGGAATCTACAATAGGTCGTCAGAAGTCGGAACCGAAGGGACAGAATCCCTCTGACAGGCAAGAGAAGTCAAAGTCAGAGATGACCCTAGACAGACCACCACTACATATTGGGCTATCGGGCTACCCGTCAGAAGTCAAAGTCAGAACTGTCCTTAAACCACAATCCCCGGTGGAAGAGCGGTACAGGGTCAAAGTGAGAGCCGTCCTGAGTCAAAGTGACAGCTGTCCTAAAAACACGCACCAATACCGAGGGGAAGAATAGCATCAGGCCCACCTGATGGAAGTCGAAGTCAGAAATTTCCTCCGACCACAAAACGGAAAAAAAAAAACAAAGCTGTTGGGAAAATGGTAGAGGGCCAAAGCGAGAGCTGTCCCAAGAAACTACCAACACCTGCCATCTTCGCCCAAATAGAACGCCTGGTCATTATCACTCCATCTGGTCCTATTGATGCCCCAAACACAGCTATAATGGCAGGGCATTCTATTGACGTGAAGACGGTATGGC